CCTCGGCACGGTACAGCAAGATCGATGCACTCAGCATTGCAAGTTGGCACGTTCCGTGGCGCGTCCCGTGGCGAGTCCCCCTGGCACGTCGCGCGGCGCGTCCCTTGGCACGTCCCGTGGCACGTTCATCGGCACGTTCCGTAGCGCGTCCCTTTGGCACGTCCCGCGGTGCGTGCCCATGACACGTCCCTTGGCACGTCGCTTGGCGCGTCCCTTGGGACGTTCCGCGGCGCGTCCACCTGGCATATCCCCCTGTCAATTAGCTTTGGGGCAGCTACTATGTGCTGAGGCAGCTCGAGCGTAAGATCCAGATCAATTCGGTCGGGACTCGGATGCAAAGGAGGACTCGATCCACAACGCTATAGAGCACAATCGCGGCATGGCACATCGCACTTCAGCACGGCCCAGCACAGCACAGCCTTGGGCACGGTACGTCAAGATCGATCCACTCAGCATTGCAACTTGGCGCGTTCCTTGGCACGTTCCGTGGCGCGTCCCGTGGTGAGTCCCCCTGGCACGTCGCACGGCGCGTCCCCTGGCACGTCCCGTGGCACGTCCATTGGCACGTTCCGTAGCGCGTCCCTTTGGCACGTCCCGCGGTACGTCCCCATGGCACGTCCCCTGGCACGTCGCCTGGCGCGTCCCTTGGGACGTTCCGCGGCGCGTCTTCCTAATTAGCATGTCCCCTTGTCAACTAGCTCTGGGGCAGCTACAATGTGCTGAGGCAGCTCGAGCTTAAGATCCAGATCAATTCGGTCAGGACTCGGATGCAAAGGAGGACTCGATCCACAACGCTATAGAGCACAATCGCGGCATGGCGCACAGCACAGCCCTCGGCGCGGTACATCAAGATCGATACACTCAGCATTGGATTTGCCCGTCTCCCAATCAGGTGTCAAACCGCCATGCTTTACATTTCTGTATTCCTTTCCGGGTTCGTGGGTCGATCATGTTTATCAGGGGAAATCTTGAGGCTCAAACTGTGTCGTTGGCCCCCGGTTTACAACTACAACAACGGTTCCCGCTTGATATTTCCTCACAAATTATGGAAGAATCGCGCTCTCGTCTGGGATTTCCTGACACTTTGCCACCCAATCGCGGCTCCCGCTTGATACTCCTTGACAGTTTATTGCAGAATCGCGTTCTCGCTTGGGATTTCCTCGCAACTTGCTACCGAACCGCTTCGCTTGATATTTCTTCACAATTTATTCCGATGCCGGTCCTCGACACTCAGCAGTCGCGCTCTGGCTACATCTTGCCTGGCGGTTCAAGCAGGACTCACGCTTCAACGATCCGCCCGCTCGACCCGCCCGTGAGGGTCTGCCCGCCCGACCAGCCCGCTAATGACTGCAGTCGCCGCTCGCTGCCCTTCGCCCCGTTCAATGCCCCTCGCTGCCCGTACTGATTCCGCGGTCGCCTTCGCTCGCTGCCCTTCGTGGCCCCGTTGCTGCCCTCAGTAGCTCCGTCGCTGCCCTTTGTGGCCCTGCATTGTATGCCCTTCGTGGCCCCCGCTCGCACGCGCCCGTCGTGGCTCCATACGCATGCCCTTCGTAGCCCCGTTGTCGCCCTTCGTGGCCTTGTCGCTGCCCTTCGTGGCCCTTTGCTGCCCTCAGTGGCCCCGCTGTCGCCCATTGTGGCCCCGTATACGAATGCCCTTCGTGGCCCCCGCTCGCTCTCGCCCGTCGTGGCCCCATATGCATGCCCTTCGTGGCCCCGCTGTCGCCCTTTGTGGCCCCGTCGCTGCCCTTCGTGGCCCCGGTGCTGCCCTCAGCGGCCCCGTCGCTGCCCTCTGTGGCCTCGGATTTTATGCCCTTCGTGGCCCACGCTGGTGTTTCTCACGATTTACTTAGGAATCGCGCTATCGCTCGAGACTTCCTCGCGATTCATGCAGGACCCACGCTTCAGCAACCCGCCTGTTCGACCTCGTCTGGGTCTGCCCACCCGATCTGCCCGTCTGGTTCTACCAGTTGTTTTCTGCTCCTTGCCACCCTCCTGCTAATTTCTCTCGTGCTCCGTTCTTCTCCCTCCCCCTTCCACCCGTCCTTTCTTCCCTTGTGTCAGGGGCTACGCAAAATACAAGTGGCTGCAGTAAGTACGATCGAAGACGACGAGGGCGGGTACCGAGGTTTTGGGACATACGCATTGATTAGCACGTGAGCAGATAGGAGCGAACAGTTTTAAATGATTGTTGAATTTTCATTTCTGAAGAATAATTGTTGTTGGTCCCCCTCACCGGTGCATGCTGTGTTTTCTCAGTCAAAGTGTGCCCCTCGACGCTCGCACCCTGTTTTTTGACAGGGAAGGTCTTCGTGCTCAAACTGGGCCCCTGGCCCCCCGATTACAACAACAACGGCTCCCGCCTGAGACTTCCTCCAATTTTACCGAGGACCCCCGCTCTTGAGACTTCCTCACAATTCACTCTGGATCGGTGCTTGTGACTTCCTCGCAATTTTGTCAGGACCCCCGCTCCCATCTGAGACTTCCTTTCAATTTACTCAGGAACGGCGCTCCCGCTTGAGACTTCCTCGCAATTGACTCAAGACTTCCTCGCAATTTAATCCAGAACCCCGCTCCCGCCAGAGAACTCTCTAACATTTTATTCA